GGTGAACTTAAGGTTGGGGTGGAAGGTGTCGGTGAAGTGGATGAACTGTTCGAGCTCGTCGTGGGAGCACGAGGCTGCGCCGATACAGTCATCAATGTAACGGAGGAAGAGGTGGGGTTTACGGCCAGCGTAGGTACGGAAGAGGGATTGTTCCACGTAACCTACAAAGAGGCAGGCATAGCTTGGGCCCATGCGGGTACCCATGGCCACCCCCTTTGTCTGTAGGAAGTGGGAGGAATTGAAAGAGAAGTTGTTGAGGGTGAGGACGAGTTCGGCTAAGCGGATGAGGGTGTCAGTGGAGGGGGACTGGTCGGGCCTGCTGGACAGGAAGAAGCGGAGGGCCTTACGGCCATCTGCATGGGGAATGCAGGTGTATAGGGACTGGACGTCCATGGTAAAGATGAGGTACTGGGGACCGGGGAATTAGAAGTTCTGGAGGAGGTGGAGGGCGTGGGTGGTGTCACAGACGTAGGTAGGGAGTTCCTGGACCAAGAGGGAGAAAATGGGGTCCAGATAGTTGGAGATCAGTTTGGTGGGGCAGGAGCAGGTGGAGACAATGGGTCGACCAGGGCATTCAGGTTTGTGGATTTTGGGAAGGAGATAGAAGCGGGCAGTGCGAGGTTGGGGAATGATGAGGTTGGAGGCCGTGGGTGGGAGGTTACCTGAAGTGATGAGGTTGTGGATGGTTTGGGAGATGATGGTTTGGTGGTCGGGGGTGGGATCATGATCAATGGGGCGGTAGGAGGAGGTGTCGGAGAGTTGGCGTCTGGCCTCAGCGATGTAGAGGTCAGTGCGCCATACTACAACTGTGCCTCCCTTGTCCGCGGGTTTTATGGTGAGGTTGGGATTGGAGCGGAGGGAGCGGAGGGCTGCACGTTCTGCGGGGGAGAGGTTGGAGTGGGTGAGAGGGGTGGAGAGGTTGAGGCGATTGATGTCTCGACGGCAGTTGGAGATGAAGAGGTCGAGAGAGGGTAGGAGGCCTTGGGGTGGCGCCCAGGAGGAGGGGGTATGTTGGAGGTGGGAGAAAGGGTCAGTCGAGGGAGGGTTAGGCTCATGGTTAAAGAAGTAAGCGTGGAGGCGGAGGCGGCAGAAAAACTGCTCTATGTCCAAACGTGAGTGTTATTCGTTGATGTGTAGGTGGAGGGGGACAAAGTTGAGCCCTTTACTGAGGACTGACCATTCGTCCTCAGTAAGGGGTAGGTCTGGGGGGATGGTGAAGACTCGGCAGGGCTGGGTGCTATTGTCCCCTCTGGAGCTGCTGGCTGTGGGTGGAGCGACATCGGCGTCAGCTGTGGGCGGAGTTGCGTCCGCGTCGGTGATGGGCGGAGTAGGCTGCGGCAGCAGCGGCGACGGTAGGCGCGACTTCAGTGTCGGTGGCGTTGGTCTCAGAAATGGAGGCGGTGGCATCAGCAGCGATAGCGTTCGCTGTCCCGGAAGTGGGGTACCCAGCGGTGGCGAATGTGACATCATCTGTGGGTTCTCCGACAGTGGCCTCATGGCCAATGGCGGCGGGCACATTGTGGGGAAGGTCCTGGGTACGGTTGGGGATTTTGGGGGGTGGAGGAAGCCTGTTTTGGGTGGTAGGTACCAATAAGTTTACTGTACTTATAGTTTTTAGTTTCCAATAAAGCTGAGTAGAATTGTGAGTTCAGGTTGTGGATCCTACGAAGAATAAAAAACAGGAGAGGTCCTTTGCAGGTCTGGGAGAGGGAGGCTCTGAGCTGGGGTAGGCTTGATTGTAGTGCCTGGAGATGCCGGCGCATTGCTGCGAATGTGTGTTTCAGGAGTCGCAGGGAGAAACGCTTCTGAAGGATCTCAATGCCATGAGTGTAGATATTGTCATGGTTGGGGCCAAATTGGAAAGGCCTGAATGTGGACTGTAGTCCATTGGGGATGATCTGGTTCCGTAGGCAGGTACTAAGGAAGGTGATGTGGCTGTAGTACCTGGTTTGCTTCAGGACACGGTCGAGCAGTTTCAAGGCCGAAGAGATTACGAGAGAGTTGCAGTGGGAGAGAGATCCCCTGAGGTTTGTCCGGAGGGAGGAGGGTAACTTCTTCAGGCTAGGCATCCTTAGAAGAGGGAGAGAGGATTTCACAAGCTTCAAAATCTCCCCTCCCCCTACCGCATCCCAAAACAAGCCCAGCTCGTCCCCACCTCCCTAACCTGTCCTTCCTCCCACCTATCCCCTCCTCCCACCTCAAGCCGCACCCCCATCTCCTACCTACTAACCTCATCCCGCCCCCTTGACCTGTCTGTCCTCCCTGGACTGACCTATCCCCTCCCTAACTCCCCACCTATACTCATCTTTACTGGCTCCATCCCCGCCTCATCGACCTGTCTGTTTCTTCTCCACCTATCTTCTCCTCTATCCATCTTCTATCCGCCTCCCCCTCTCTCCCTATTTATTTTAGGCACTGAGCTGCATTGTGTTCAGCCATTTCCCTCAATACCTTGTTAAAGTTGCGGCTCCTGACTAAAAGAATTTTATAAATATTTAAATTGTTTTCTTCTCCCTTTCAATGCTTTTTTTTACAAAAACTACGGCATTAATCTACACTTGAAAATGTGACAGAAACCTTGCAGCTTTCATATCCAGATTATACTGGGCTTTTGTGTAAAATACCCACTTTCAGTTGCACGTTTTCTGTCAGACTTTTCTCGTGATGAGTGGTGGCTATTTTACTTTGAGCCAGTTAGAATGGAAAAGGTACAGACTGTGCCAGTCAGAAATGAGAAATGTTGTGCAACACGGTCAGGTCAGAATCAACCACATTGTTGTGGGTCTGGAGTCACATGTAGGCCAGACCACGTGAGGATGGCAGTTTCCTTCCCTAAAGGATATGAGTGAACCAGATGGGGTTTTACAACAAATCAGCCATGGTTACATAGTCACTGTTAGACTTGCTATTAATTCCAGACTTTTTAAAAATTGAATTCAAGTTTCCCCATCAGCCACAGTGGTTTACAAGCTCTTGTTCTCAGAATGTTCTGGTTGACAGGTCCAGTAATATTACTGCCTCCTATCAGTGTGACACTGAGGGAGTCAGACATACACCATCCCCCATCACTATTTCAAAGAGGAATTCTCCACGGTGCGTTGGCCAATTGTTATCGCTTAACCAAGGCTGTGAAAATGGGTGATCTGGTCACGAGGACATCGCTGTTTGTGGGATCTTGCTGAGCACAAATAGGCTGCATTTCATATCACAGAGTTCAGAAGGTGTGTCAGCAGCAGTAAAGTGCTCTGGAATGTCACAAGGTGATGAATGGTGCAATATCAATGAAAGTTCTTTCTGTGACACACAATGAAGCTACATATCCAAGTGTGGCCCATCCCTCGTACTCTCAGCCTTTATTTTAATAGAGGTTATTCAGTAAGTGAGCTGGGGTAAAGTTTCTGTCTCTGGTTCGCAGTGTGCCTTCAGTTGCCAAGCGTGAGCTTTGACCTCGTGGACATCGAGCTATTTGATCATAGAGCTCATGACAACGGCACTGGATCAGTTCCTTTTTGGCTCTCTCCAGATACTGTTTGAAGTCATCGGGCTCAGAGAAAGCAACTGTTAAAGGAAGTAGCAATGAATTCTCTTGCTTTCTCTCTGACTCACTGCAAGTGTTGCTATGTAGCTAACACACCCCCCCCAACACACACACACACAAAACAACAAACCTCTTCCTAACTAATGTTCAGACACATTGGTGGTACAGTGCTCAGTGGTTAGCACTGCTGCCTCACAGGACCAGGAGCCCTGGTTTGATTCTACCCTCTAGTGATTGTCTGTGTGGAGTTTGCACGTTCTCCTTGTGTCTGTGTGGGATTCCTCCGGGTGCTCCAGTTTCCTCCCACAATCCGAAGATGTATAGCTTAGGTAGATTGTCCATGACTAAATTGCCCATAGGGTCCAGGAATGTGCAGGCTTGGTGGATTAGCTATGGGAAGTGCAGGATTACAGGGATAGGGTAGGGGGTGGTGGGTTTGGTTGGGATGCTTTGTGGAAGGTTAGTGTGCAGTTGATGGGCTGAATGGCCTGCTTCCACAGTGTAGCGATTCTGTGATGATTCTATGATATACGTTCACCAGCAGGGGGCGCTGGATGAGAAACTGTGTCCTGGCTGGGATCAGTACTAAGGCCTAAATCTTTCACCTTTTAGCATTTAGTGTAGTGTCACACTGGGCAAACTACATTAATTTAACTCAAGGTGGTATAGATTGGGGATGGGGTTTAGTAGGTGATTGGCTGGTTTTTAATGAAGGCTTGAAGACGAACAGGAAGAGGCCAGGCGGCCCCTTGAACCTGTTTAACCATGCATTTAGATCATTTAGGATTTGCATCTGAGCTCCGTTTATTTGCCTTAGTTCCTCATCGGCACCATCTACAAGTTGCACTGCAGCAATTATTGAAGCTCCTTAGACAACACTTTCCAAATCCATGTTCTCTATCAGTCTGAAGGACAAGGGTAAGCACCACCATCTGCAAGTTCCCCCCTGAATCACACACCATCCTGACTTGGAAGTAAATCGCTGTTCCTTCACCGTCACCGGGTCAAAAACCTGGAACGCAGTCCCTAACGGCACTACGGGTCCACCTACAGCAGAGGGACTGCAGTAGTTCAAGAAGACAGTTCATCACCACCTTCCTAAGGGTAAGGGATGGCGGGATGGTGGGGTGTGGGGGGGTAGTGGGGGCAGGAGGAGGAGGAGGTGTAGAAGAACTGGGTTTCCCTGATTCCTAGTATGGAGAGATACTTCCTAACATCAGAGGAGATCCAATTTGAAAGTTAGGCCCCTAGTTCTGGACTCCCCTACCAGGCAAACTACTGCACATCAGCCCTAGCAAACTCCTGTACAGGGGGTCCCCGATTTAAAAATACTCATACTTACAAATGTAATCTCATACAAGGGTGGAATTTTTAAGGTCTGACAATATGATCAATTCCTATATTTACGAACCACCCTTTTATACTGTCCTGCTTTGTGTTCCAACTTGCGTACAAATCTGGGGCCTGTCTGTATCATCTTTCAAACCCTTCAATCTGCCACACCGTTCTTGTGGGAATACCAGGACAGCCTGTGGACAGTTAACCTGTGAGGATCCTGGGATGTGGGGAATCTATTTGAGCCTAAGAGGTCAGCTTGCCACGTCCCCCCCACCCAGGTCTATGATGCTCAGGAATATGGAAAACTTTCTGTAACTAACATGAGTTGGTATCAAAAACTAAGTCGCTGGAAAAGCTCAGCAGGTCTGGCAGCATCTGTGGAGGAGAAAACAGAGTTAACGTTTCGGGTTCGGTGATCCTTCCTCAGTTGCTTTTCCAGCAACTTTGTTTTTGCTCCTGATTTACAGCATCAGCAGTTCTTTTGGTTTTTATGAGTTGGTATCAGTTCCTCCAACGACACTTCAAACTGCGAGAGATCCCAACACAATGTAAAACTCAAGTTTCAAATCTCCATACCTTGATCATCAAACGCGTGTGTTAACTCATGGCCCATAACCACTCCAATTCCTCCAAAATTTAGAGCCCTAATAATAGAGAAATAAATCTCATTAGAGTTCCAGTCTTGTTAGATGTTGCACTCATTGCCCAGTGTTACTGACACAGCCCCGGCTTATGGCCTGTTTGTAAACATCCGCACGGAAGCAAGTTTTCTGGCTACCAAAGAACACCCAAGGGCCAGCAAGAGTGGGAGCTCGGATATTTATCCCTACAGAGTTCATGCACAATCCCAACAATCAGAGTTACAGCTTTACCAGCATTGGCAGAATCCTCATGTTCATTATCACACATGACAATTTAGACATTTCCACCACAATTCAAAAAGGACAGCAAGAAGGATTGGGCATTAAGAGTTCCCTGTGAGCATTAAACAAAAAGTGAATTATATAAGTGGTCTAAACAATTTCAATTAACACCAAGAAAAAAATCTTGCCATTTCAGCATTGGAGGAAAGTTCTTGCCAAGTAGATCAGTGTGCCCAGTGATAGCAAATTCATCACATCTGGACCAGCGCGGCTTTTGGATTCAAAGCAGGTCCAGGATTCACCAGATGTTCTTGTGAATGGAAGGATCCAATTCAAACTTTTTGTTGAACAACGATAGGTTTTTGATTGGAACAAAATCATGAACCCGAGGAGTGCATTTTTCAAAACTAAACATGGGCATCTCCAATGTCCAAAGTCAAACAACTCATGGGTTGTTGTTAAAATAGCCTGCGCAAGTTAAACTTTCTCCTTTAGTCATGTAGGATGGGTTCTGATTTGTGCAGATGCAGGAAAGCACTCCAAAAGCTGTAAGCTATAGGGCTGTGGACCAAGCAGGTGAGATTAAGTTGCACAGCTATTTTTCAGCTAGTACAGACAAGGGGGGGTGAATGGTCTCCTTCAGTTCAGTAAATGTCTATTTGCTCAAGGGGGAGCCAAACAAAGGGACCCAGCAGCGACCAATGATCCCTCCTTCACAAGGGAATATTGGCTTGGAGAGTACGCTGCCTGTCTTGAGGAGCTGGAAAATCCTGGTAACAGAGACTGCAGCCTCTCAGTCCTGCCTGTGATTTCAATGAGTTTTGGCTGAAATCACATGTGTCTTTTCTATGAGGTCTCTGGGGACAGTTATGTCCCAGGGCACCTTTCCAGCTTGGGAATGGAACCTTAATAGAGGCCCCGTTTGATGTCCAGAGAGAGTTCTGTTATTTAAATTCCAAGCCTCTGTACTTTCTGTCCTCTTGGGGACTGACTTTACAGTCCCATCAGCTTTTTGAAAGCATTCAATTCCTCTGTTTCTTGTGACTTTGTTTTAATTAGTTCCACATAAATGCTCCACATTTATAGCAAATGCTGGTCCAAATGCACTGCAACTCTGTAGTAAATCAGTCACGCGTTGAAGAGATGGAGGCCCAGGTTTGATGGACCCACCTAATGCATGTACAGTGAACCAGCCCATCTTCAATTTCATCACTTTTAGTCAGCAAATTCATTCAACGTGACTTCTTCACCAGAAACCGTCATTTACCGTGAGACTTTAGGAAAACAAAGCTTACAAGTCGTTTGAAGCTCAGTGCCCAGTTGTTAACCCTTCCCTTTGACAATCATACAGTGGAACCCAGCCCCATAAAACAGAGGGGACTGCCTTGACCAGATTCTCTCAGCCTTGGGGTTGGGTCTTCACCAGAACCACACTGTCTATTCAGGGAATTCACTAGAACATTGCACAGGCTCAGTATCAGATCCCTGTGCCTTTATTCCACAACCAGGCCACACAGGATCCTAAAACAGAAGTTGTTGGAAAAACTCAGCAGGTTTGGCAGCATCTGTGAAGAAAAATCAGAGTTAATGTTTTGAGTCTGGTGACCCTACTCCAGATGTCTGGATCCTGTTTTTTGATTTGGCCGGGCATGTGGTTCATCTTTGAATTTTCCTCCTCTCCCTGGAGACCTGAATTTATATCATATTGCATCAGGTATGCAGCACTGACAGGTCAGTCCATTGTCAATGAGTCTGCTCCACATGAAGCCTCCTTCTACACATTTCCCCTCACCCTCTCGACACAGCCATCTACCCTTTCCTCCCTCATACTTACAGCTTCTCGTTAAATGGATCTATTCATTTCCACCTCGCCAAATGGGTAAGTGAGTCTGTGGGCGAGCCAATTATCACTGTAACCCACTCGATCGAATGTCTCAGACTTACTTTGGGTAATCCCTGGTGTAGAACGGAGCCTGCAGAATTCCAGCTGGGAATACAATCTCATTCTTTGTCGGGGAGTAGTAAGCATTAACTGTGGGAGGGGTCATGCTCCACCTGTTGGGGCAAACGCCATAATTAATATCAAATAATTACTCAGTGGTACAGAACTTAAACATTACTGCAAGGAGACAAGAAGCTGAAATTTCTGGCCTTCCACTCATCAGCACTGAGATGCAAGAACAATAACTTTGGAATACAACCAATAATTTATCCATGAATCTCCACGTTAACCCTAGTCCAATCAATTTGCTCCTTTCTCTCACGCTGTACAAATTGTTGGTTCCTTTCTGGTGTCAGTTTTCTTGCATCCCTGTCCTGATGAGTACAAGTTGAAGCCACGCCTCTTTCTAAAATATCACGGGAAACTTGAATTCAACACCAGCACAAGAAATGCAGATTGAGTCCGTACTGTAAAGGAAAGGCCTTTTCTGGGTGTAAGCTTCTGGTTACAGAATATGCCTGAGGAAAGGTGGGAGAGTTGGATGTTAAACTGGTGAAGACTGAAGCTGTTTAATACAGATCGCAGCTGCTGTCGGCATTGATTCTGTGCAGCCACCAGAGGGAGCAGCTAACACAGGGTAAAAGGCTCAGAGACAGTAAGAACTGCAGATGCTGGTGTCAGAGACAACACAGTGTGGAGCTGGAGGAACACAGCAGGCCAGGCAGCATCAGAGGAGCAGGAAAGCTGACGGTTCAGGTCA